CTACCCCCACACATCCCAGTAACTTTCCTCTAAAACTGCCAGTAACTTCCCACTACCCCACCCATATATATAATTAAAAAAAAAAACTTTTCAAATAATCACATTTACTCTGCATTTTCTTTCTCATCCTCTTTCTACAATTTCTCACTCAACCTCCATTTTCTCTCTCTACTCCATTTTCGTACATGCAATTAGCAAGAAAAATTGTCTAAAATGTCCGACATAAGAGACGAAATTGCACAATCTCGACAAATTTCAACAACAATATACCAAAAATCTAATGAGTAAGTATGTTTTACATGTTTAGTGTAAAATTAATTGAAGATTGCGAAACAAAACCCTAATTTTTTGGTATTTTTTCTTTTTGATGATGCTTCAGGAAAAAAATTGAAAATACTGGAGTTCCAGAACAATCAAAGTAAGTATTACTATTTTTTTGGAATTATAAGCATAAATTTATTTAAATTTGCTCATATTTAAACAAGTTACTGTTTAATTTCAAAATAAACATAATTTTCCTCTATTTCTGAGACGATAATAAAAATTTAAACAAGTTACTGTTAATATTGGAATGCATGCATAATTTTGATTAAATGATCAACCAAAAAAATATAAAGTATAGTATTGTGAAATATAATGAACAAATACAAAACAGTATATGTTCAAATTGGATTGTGTGCATATATGTGTGCATATATATGTATAAATATGTTCAAATTTGTATATTATGTGTACAACATGCAATTTATGTTTGTTTTTAAATTGTTCATTTCTAAATTTATGTGTATACATTTACTGACATATTAATTGTTCATTTCTAAATTCCATTTTGTACAAATAGAAAACATATACTTTATTCATCTGTGTAGTAAAATGAACATTTACAAAACACTATATTGTCAAAATTCATATTATGTTATATATATCCATATATGTGTATAAAAATGTTCATTGCTACAACTATATTGATCATTTATATGAACTATTCTGTACATTTGTCTAACATAGAAACATCATGTCAATTTTTATGATTTACAATATTAATTTACATTGTAGTGATGTACCATTTAAAGTGATACACTTGATGCAATTTGACAATGGAATGTTCAATCCTTATCCTATAATTCATGAGAGAAAAGAATGTTCTGAAATAGACAACAAATTGGATAGAAATGAAGTTATAAAAAAGTGGGAACCCTATTTATTAGGAGACAACCTACATCCCAAGTAAGTTGATATACTTACAAATATTCATATATGTAATATTTAATGTACAATCATTTACTTCAATACTTAATCTCATAATTGAAATAATTTGTAAAATTTTAGTGAACCAAAAAAGTTGAAAGTGAAATTTATAATGTCAAGATCAAGGCCAGAGAAAAATCAATCAATAAGGTATAAATACTTAATAAAAATTCAATAATTAATTTTTATACAGTTACATAATCATACTTTTATGTATTAACATTCGAAAAATTTCAGTGAACAAGAGAAGGAAACTTCAAAAATAGATGATGCATCAACAAATCAAGGGTATATTCTACCTCAATGTGTTTAATGTTCATTTATTTCTTAGTTGTCATACACAATCTAATGATTTGCATTCTCAGAAAAAAAACAACTGAAGAGGAAGCAAAAACTGATCACCTACAACAAGAAAAGGCTGGATCAGAATTAGTGAATATAGGGTATTTGATTCCCATAATGTTCATTTTCATATTACTTAATAAGCATTTTTAATTATTTGAAATTAATTGATTTTCATAAATCAATCACCTAAGAAAGACACAAGAGAGGTTGAACAACTACAACCAAAAAAGGATGCAGCAGGGTATTTTCAGATATCAACTAATGTTCATTTTCATATTAGTTGATAAACATTTTTAATCATTTTCAATTTTTAATTTTCAGAAATGAATCAACAGAAGATGAGTCTCCAAAAGAGGCTACAGCAAAGGATCAACCTACACAACAAGTGAAGGCTATAGCAGAGGATGAGCCTCCAGCAGAGGAAGAGCCTCCAAAAGAGGATGAGCCTCCAGCAGCAGTTGAAGAAACACATTCATACATAATGCAAAAGTATGAACATATATAACTTATTAAATGTTTCTATTCCACATTTACAATATTATTGATCATAAATTATCTGTTTCCAGGAAAAAAATAAAAGTGTCAACTCAAGGAATACTAAAAAAACTGACAAAAAACTGGAAAACTGCTCCTGTTAGCAAGGTCATTGCTGCTAAAAAGGCTCCTGCTACAACTGTTGATACTACTGGAAAAGCCACTGCTGCTGAAATGGCCCCAGCTACAACTACTGAAAAGTCCTCTGCTGCAGAAAAATCCCATGCAGCAAGTTCTGCAAATGCACAACAGAAGGCCCCTGCTGAAATTAAAAAAATCCTATTAGGTAATGTACATAATTGTTAAATTAAATATTAAATTTTTTTAATCAATAACACTTATACTGAAAATGTTCATTTACCAATTTGTAAATGACCTAAATGTATAGGTGGTGAAGAAATTGAGATTGAGGATGAAACAGAAGAAGAATTGGAAAGACAAAGACAAGAAGAATTGCAAAGGGATGAGGAGTTGGCAAGAATATTGAGAGGTATAAAACCTATTGAAGAGTTAAATTTGTCTCAAAAGAGTGAAGAATCTTCAAAAAATTCAAAGCAACCAAGAAGGAAAATGGTTGCAAGGAAAAATCAAAAGAAAAAAGAATTGGAAGAAAATTAGAAAAAACAGGAAGATGAACAATCACCAGCAAGAAGAACAAGAAGTAAATCACGAGGTAAATAAAATGTACAATTTCTAATATAACAATGATCATATTAAATAAAATATTACAACTATATTAATATTTATATAACAATGTTTATTTGCAGATGTTAAGTTTCCTGACATATCAGCTATAGCAACAGCTGCTGCAGCAATTGCTGAAAACCTACCAGCAGCAACAACACCCAAAAAACTTGGGCGTCCAAGGGCTGTAACTGCAGTTGCAGAGAAACCTGCTGAGAAAACAGGGCGTACAAGGGCTGCAGTTATTGGGAAAGCAGGCCAAAAAGGTAAAAGAACATATCTAAAACAATAAATGTTCAATTACAATCTTACACTTTTAAAATGTTTATTTTACTTAATGTAATTGATCAAATAATTAGGTGGTCAGAAAAGACCTGCTGCATCAGCCAAAGGTCCTGCAAAAAAAAGAAAAGTCATAGATCAAGTGCCTTATGATGAACCATCAGAGGATGAAGAACAAGAAGAAGTCCCTACAACAAGTTCTGCTCCTGCAGAAAAGAAAATTCTTAAAAAAGTAGAACAAAAAGGTAATGTACATATTAATAAAGTTAAATGTTCAAATACAAACTAGCAATTTACACTTTCATATATATATGTTCATTTTACATATTATAATTGATCAAATGTTTAGGTGGCCAGAAGAGGCCTTCTGCATCAGCTAAAGGCCCTTTGAAGAAAACAAAAATCATTAAAGAACAATCAAAGGAGGAAAATGAAGAAGATGATAAAAGTAATACTGATAGTGGATCAGACAGTGAGGATCCAACTTTTGATGCTGAAAAAGAAGAAGATGAAGAAAGTGAGGAGGTGGAAGTAGTTCAAGAAAAGAAAACAACATTGAAAAAACCAAAAGCTGAAGAAAAAAGAATGGTTTTGTATGAGAGGGAACCAATAAAAAAGATTGTGAAGAGGAAAACTGAATTTTCAGTGGCTAAAAAAAAAGAAGAGGAGGAAGAAAAGAATGAAGAGGAAGTTGGAAGTTCGACAAGAGGAGGCCATGTCAAATTCATGCATTGGGTTAAGAAAATGAGTGATACACAGAAGAAATTAGTGCATGAAATAGGACTGGGGCTGTTGTTGGATATAGAACTTCCTCAGCTTGACAAACAATTCAGCCATTGGGTTTTAGATAGCTTTGAAGTCAGTAGTTGTAGTTTTGAGCTGCCTAAAGGTGAGAAAATTGAAATTGAGGTGGAGGATGTGAGAATTGTATATGGTTTGCCAATGGGAGACATTCCCATTGTTGAAGCCAAATCAGACAGAGCAAGTGAAGATTTTGGTGTATTTATAAAAAATTGGAGGTCAAAATGGCAAGGCAAAACACCATCTGTAAACCAAATTATTGCTCAATATACAAGTGATAAATTCAAAAACCAAAGGCCAGCAGAAGAAGATTTTCTCACCAACTTTTTGGTAGTTGCTGTGATTTGTTTGATGAAGTGTATTTCAAACAACCAATGCCATTTCAAGTTTCTGTTTTCTATGATGGACAAAGAAAAAATAAAAAACTTGAATTGGTAACAGTACGTGTTTGACTCTCTCATCAGTTGCCATGTGACATGGAGAAAGAGTGGAGGAAAAGGATTCTACAATGGACCATTGCAATTTCTGATGGTAAGTTTATAACACACAATAGTAAATTATAAAATGTTCATTTTAGTAACAATGAATGTTCATTAACAAAATGTTAAATATCGATTTCGTCTAAAATTTTAATCTTTTATATTAATTGTTCATTTGTATTATATTATATGTTCATTTATAGTAATGGGTTTTGGTGCAGTTGTTCTACTTTGACAGAGTTCAAAGATTGAACAAAAAACAACCAAGAACAATTCCAATAATTTCTTGTTGGAAAAGGGATATGTCACTTGAAAGGATAAAAACAGAAAATGATTTGAACTATGGATATGGAAAAGTCCTTCCAAGAATAGAAGAAAAGCCTGAAGACAATCCTAAGGTACAAAATGATCATTTATAAATTATGAAATGTTCAATATCAAAACACATAATGTCTTATATGATTTTTTTATATGTTCTATAAATGACAGGTCTTTATGAATGAATTTGCATCAATGGTACAAGAAGTTGGTGCATCTTTGGCAAGACTTTCTACCAAATTGGTTAAGGCAAAAGAGCTCTTCCCTAGGAATCAGTTGGTCAAGAAGGTAGATGAAGTGTTAGGAAAGATGGCAAGAGAACCATCAATTCTCAGCCAAGATGAAGAAATATTTGGATCAGAGGATTTTTTGAATGCCATAGCTCAAATTGAGAAGGAACTGATGGAGGCAAGTGAAGCAGAAAAAAAGAAAATAGGAAATGAGAAGGAATATGATATAAGGAAGGCATTCAGTTTGGGTTGCAACTTAACTCCCCCAACTCCAACAACTGGTAAATATGCTTAATTAAAAATTGTCATTAATTTGAATATCCTTACTTAAAGAGTATAATATAATTAAAGAATTAAAATTTAATTTATTTGAACATAGAAGCACAGATTAATGTTGCAGCCACAACTTCAACAACAACTGATGCAAATGTTTCTTCTAAGCCAGAAGAGGGTAAAGCTTTAATATCTATGTACAATTATGAAAAGTATAATGTTCATTTATAAAATAATAAGTTTGTTTAGTCTAAATATTCAAAAAAGTATATATTCAGAATAACAAATGTTCATTTACATTAACAATTTCATATATTTTAAATCAACAGAAAGAGTTGGAGGTTCAAATTCTGAAGAACCACAAGATGGAGGAAATTAAAAAAAAGGTAAAAAGTTCACTTATATAGTATTAAATGAACATTTGTGATTGTAAAATATTCTTCTTTAATGATACTAAGTCTATATATGTGTGAATGCAAATTAATACAAAAAGCATTAAACAAAGGTGAAGGTTCAAAATCTGAAGCATTAGAAGAAAATGTTGAAGGAAATTCAAAGAGTGGTACAATGTTCACATATTACAAATAAATGATCAAATTATTAAGTATAATGTTCATTTCTAGTTATATAAAATTTCTTTCATGTATTTTGTTTGCAGCATCTGATTCAAAAGTTGGTGATCCCAAGACACCAACTGAAAATAGGGAAGCTGCTGGAGATATTTCTACAATCTTGAAATCTCCAGCATGTTCAAGTATGGAAGATATCCTTGATAAATCAAACAAGAAAGGAGGAAGCATGGGGTAAACATGGAAGACCTATCTTGTTAGAAAATATATAATTTTGAATGGACATGTAGAATAAATTTGGTTATAAAGTGTAATTATTTTGGACAGTTTTTGTTTATGAAGTTAGTAATGGATATGTATTATAAAATCAGAAGGGAATATTTTTCTTTAGGGTAGGAATGCACAATTTAAGATATGTAAATTATGTATTTTAATTTAAATGTCTTAGTAATATTTTAAGTGTTTATTGTTCAAAAAAGGAGAATAATGTTTTTTTTATATTAATTACTCTTCATTACTAACCATGATTAATATTTCAGAGAAGACAAGAAGAAACAGATACATGCTTCAAATGTGAAGGAAAGGTAAATGATTATTCCACATATACATGTTCTTTTTCATTAAACCGAATAATCATTTATACTATATTTATATTCAGTGAGACAAAAAAGGATTCAAAAGAAATTGAAACAGAGAAGATTCAAATTTCCAAAAACACAACAGGACAAAGGTAAATGGTCTTTACATGTTTATAGATTTATAATGTTCATTATCAATATACTAAATGATCATTCATAATTCAATATTTATTCAGTGACAGAGAGAAGACTTTGGAAAGAAAAAAATCAAGAGAAGCTGAGAAGGCAAAAACTGAGATTGCAAAGGAAAAAGAGATAAGGTATTACTATTTGTTCTTTATATAAATTATTTGTTCATTATTAAAAAAATTCATATTTGTATTAATATATGGTCACATTAACTAGGCCACAAAGGGAAATCCCAAATGTTCCTCTTGCTTTCCGATCTCCATACATGGTCAAGTACAAGGATTTGTTCAAAGATGAAGACACAATGAACAAACTTGTAACAGACTATGCTTATAGTGGAAAAGATCAAAGGTATACATCACTTACTTCATTAAAACTTTAACATTATGTTTGTTGTAAACTCATAAAATTTAAAAAATTGATATTTTGCAGTGAGCTACTATACTATGATGGAGTGAATTCGATCAATAGGGCAGAGATGAAAACTCTTGAACGGGATACATTAGTAGTTAACAATGTGATCGATTCATGGGCAATACTTCTGAATAAAAAAAGGTCAAAGAACAAGTTATACTTTTCAACATTTCCACATGTAAGTCTTTATTGAAATTACACATGTATACATTGGTGTACTAAAATGATCAATTCACTTATACTAGATGATCATTATGAATATTAAAATGATCCTTGTGCATTATTTGCAGCAAATTATGTATTAATAACAAATGAATTGAGGTTATACAAAATCAAGAGTGCAGTTGGATATCAACAGGTATTAATGAACAATATGGAATTATAATATGTTCATTTACATTAATGTGTATATATAATAACATTGTGTACTATGTACAAATTTTTTTTTCCAGTGGCCATATATGCACATTTCTATCTTCTATGCATTGATCATATCAGAGACAATGCATATAATTGACAAAAGGAAACTGCCAAAACATCAAACAATTGCAACAAAGTATGAAAACCAACCCCAATTGGTGGTAAGTATATTGTTTAATAGATATATAAATGATCAATTTGTTTATACAAAATGATCAATATTGAAAATTAAAATGATCAATATTAATATGATCCTTTGAATTTTTTTTTCTGTATATGTTGCAATTAAAAGGATATGCAGAATATTTGAAAGGGTTGGGGTATGAAGATGCAGATTCTATTGAGAAATATAAGGTGATTTTGCAAAAAATGAAGTGGAGGAGCAACGAAGATTACACCAACTGTGGAGTTTACATTATGAAACATATGGAAACTTTCACTGCTGATCCCAATGAAGAATGGGTTTGTGACCTAAAACCAAACAATGTAAGTAAATTTCAACAAAACAAAAAAATATACTTCATGATCACTTTATAATACATAATGATCATTTATATCCCATTAATGTTCATGTTTATAATAAATTATTTTCTTAGAACAGGTGAACCAAATCAGAAAGCTCAGAGTACAATACACTGCTGAACTAATGCTGAATGAAGGAAACAGGCAATCACAGAACAATAGAAGAGCAGCAAGAAGATTTGCACAAGCTTAATACAATATGTTCATATATAGACATATATATGATCATACTTGCTTTCAGTATTTGTATGGACATAAGTTTTTGTTGTTGTTCAAGTAAAGACAAAATTTATTATCTTTTTAATATTTACAAATAGTAAAGTGTTACATTATAATTGCCAGTTTTAAATCATCTAATATAATTATTCCAATTTAATAATGGTTCTTACTATTTAAAATAGTATATGATCACTTCCAAAAGCAAAAATAATCATTTATAGAATATTTAAGAATAGTTTGAAAAAAAAAGATTCAAATTACTTAATAAATCAAAATATAAAAAACTTAAAGCACTTGAATCTCTATAAAGTTGAGACAACTAAAAATGTTGATAGTTAAACACCAAAACATAATTGCATATTGATTTACTCTCTTATTTACCATTTATAGCCAATCTCTTAGCCACACTAGTATCAAAAAATGCTAATAACCTATCATATTTGGTTGAAATTTGTGGAGAACCTCCTTGAGTACTTCTTGAAACAGTAGGAGATCCTTGAACATTCATTGAAACACTAGGAGAAAGTAGAACATTCCTTGAAACACTAGGAGAAACTTGCACATTCCTTGAATTTCCTTGAGTACTTCTTGGAACATTAGGAACATCATGCACATTTCTTGAAATACTAGAATCAACTTGAACATTCCGAGAACAGCCTTGAGTACTTCTTGGAACATTAGAAGGAGCTTGAACTTTCTTCGGAACACTAGAACGAACTTGAACATTTCTTGGAGCTTTTGGAGGATTTTGAACAATGCTAGAAACTTTAGAAGGAGCTTGAGCATTGATTTGAGCATGCACAACTGTGGGAAATTGTACATTTCTTGGTTTCTTTGTTGGCAATTGAGAACTTGTTGGAAAATTATCAACATCATGAGCAATTGCAGCTGTTTTACCCTAATGATCAAAATTAAAATAATTAATGATCAAATTCAAAATTCATAATGACCTTATACAAAATTAAAAGGTAGATGATTAATATTTCACCTTAACAATAGAAGATATGTCTGGATCAACAGTAACGTTTGATTTCATAGAGCTATATCCATATTCCTATAATAAAATGAAAATTATAAAAACATTATAATCACAACTTAAACTACTAAAATGAACAACTACAATTACATACATAATCATTTACATAATACCTATTCAAAGTCATTTGAAACACTATCATCTGAAGGGATATCTTCTACAATGGCAGTCTTTATATTACAAACCTTGAAAAAAAATTAAAAGTAAAAATGTTTTATATTCTAAAGAATTTGATAAAAACAGATAAAAAAAAAGAAAATAAGTTTTTACCTGAGCACTTGGATCTTCAATCACAATTAACTCATTAGGATCAGCCAAAGAATTAGCATAAGATATAGGACACCCATTCTCGTCCAATTCCTAAGGCAAAACAAAAATGTTCAATTCTTGAACATAAATGATCAATAACAAAAACATAAATGTGCATTATTACCTGAAATACTGCTTGACCTTTAGATCTTTTATAAGGAGTGTATACTGACTTTTTCTTCAACCACTGACCCCTGGCTTTGTTATAAGCCTTCTCTAAATTACTCTTAGGCCTATAATTCCTCTCTCCAATAGGTCTTGATTTTGCCGGATTCTTAACTTCATGATCAACAATTTCAATACTTTCAACCGGTTCATTAAAATCAATAGTACCAGTAACACTCTCAATCTTTTCTTTTAAAAGATTGAAATAACATTCAACCTCTGCTCTAGCATTCAAAGAGTGTTGACAACTTGTTACCAACTTAACAAATTTCCTTAGTGTTTGTGTCCTCCAAACACTTGTAGATACTACATTGGTTTTCATTGTAGGTTCATCAAGGCCATGACTACACATAGCAGCCTTAGTCCACCTCTTACATATATAGTCATCTGGAATCTTATGAACACAATTCATATGATAAATTCGAAGAGCATGACAACAAAGCAAACCCATTTCACTAAACAACATGCATGTACAACATATTGCATGTGTTACTTTATTAAAAACAACCTCGTGCTTGATCATATCTTTCCCAGGTCTCCACAAATGATAATAATATTCAGGAAAATTCACACCAGCATCCTTATGATCACAAGCAGTACCCTTAATGAACTCTTCCTTAAAAAGCACATAAGCTTGAATAGTATACAATGATCTAGCATGAACAAGAATCCCAATGTATGCAAAGGCCAAATGACGATTACCTCTGATTGTATTATAATCTCTCCCTTTTTCTTTGCTTCTCCACTCTTGAACCACATCGAGAAACACTTGATAGAAATCACATAGACCTTGTGTCTTGTTAAGCCTTTGAGAAACTGATTTGTTAGTTGTCTCACTACGTTGAGATGAAAGCACACCTCCTGACCAAAATTTCTTTGAAAAAGCTGGACACCACATCTCTTTGATTTTATACAAATCATTCAACCAATCAACATTTGCACAGTCATATTTCAACAACATTCTGTAAATGAAACATGATCATTAAGCATAACAGTTATGATCATTATAAATAAACATTTATAAAAAACTAAATGTTCATTTCTGTAAAAATTATTTAAGAAGCTAAACAAGTATAAAGCAGAAGTACCTTTTCCAATAATGCTCAAATTCTGGTGGAGTTTCACAATACTTTAGTAAATAACCAAATAAATCAGTGAAACCATCCAAAGCTCTCAACGCCCCAATGTGTTTCTTAGAATTTTGTTCAATATACCACACACATAATCTATGATGAACACCTTTGGGGAAAATATTTCTTATCCCAGCTGCAATTGCTTGAGCTTGATCAGTCATAATAGTAATAGGACTTCTCCTTCCCATAGAAGTTAGAAAAGTATCAAATAACCACTCAAATGATTCTGTTCTTTCATTAAGTATAAATCCCATGCCAAACATCACATTATTTGCATGATGATTCATACCCACAAATGGAGCACAAATCATACCATATTTGTTAGTCCTATAAGTAGTATCAAAAACTAACAAATCACCAAAGTAATGATAATCTCTCATCATCCTTCCATCTCTCCAAAAGAAATTAACCAATGCACCATTTTCATCTTGTTCAAAATCATAATAGAAATCTGCTTCATCAATTTGTCTCTTAGCAAAAAATTTGATTAGTTGATTGTTGTCACCTCCCCCAAGTTTAGCTGTCTTTTCAACAGAAATAGCATTATAAGCATCAGGAGCTGTAAAACAAAGGTTAGGAGACCCTCCAACCTCCTTCTTCAAAGCTCTCAAAGAATCAGAAACTTTAACTCCACTCAATCTAAGTGTAGAAATGGAATTAATATGTTCCTTAGAAATATCCCTTTGAGACCTTATTAAATGTCTCTTGTCAACAGGAATCATTTCATGATTATGAACCATCTCATGTCTTGTACATGTATATACACCTGAACGGTCAATACTAAACTGCACAAAAGCTAAGCAACCAGTCCTTATGTTAAGTCTCTCATACAGCCTATTATTCCTGCACTTATCATCTTTAAAACCCTCATTTGTACAAACAAATCTTTTCATAAGGAATGAATCATCTCTTCGCCTCTTACTTTTTCCAATTCTAATTCCAAAGCCCTTTCTAAATGCATATTCATTAAACATTTCATAAGCCACATCTTCAGAAGGAAATTGTTTCCCATAAAATTCAGAACTAGCTGCTTCCTCAAATAAAATAGCATTCTTTTTTTCCACTGCAATATTAAAATGTAATAAATGAACACAAATAATAGCAATAATGTACAATAACCACATGTAAACTTTTAATGATCATTTATCATTACATAAATGAACATATATCAAAATGATAATAAAACATATAAATGAACATTTATGATTACATAGATAAATGTAAATTACAGTAATTACACCTATGTTAACGTAAATGTACATATAATCTAACATACATGAGCATTAATTGAATGTCAAATTTTATAAAACAATAGACAATCATTAAAATGCAGAAAACTGGAAAAAACATCAATTGAATAACAACATTACAAAGAAAAACAATAAAATCACAACAATACATCACAAACTATAAATTAAAATAATCATAAATAAAAATGAAATCAAATATTATAATCGACCATAATTTTGATTTTAATTCATACAATAAGCAAAACTACAAAACCAAAAATTATAATTGAGCATTATATAAACTATAGTTCATACAATTATCAAATTATGAAATCAAAATCGAACTATTACATGGAAAACAGAGCATAATCAAAATCGAATGATTGAGGGAAAAATTACTCACATTGTTACGAAAACGAGTCGACTAAACCAACTCCAGCAGGAAAAATAGAATCACAATCACGATCAAAAGCAATTAAGCTAGAATCACAGTCACGATCAAACACAATTGAGCTAGAAATTTCCATGGAAGAAGAGAGAGAAAAATTGGGGGAAAAATAAAAAATGCAGGAGAGAGAAAATGAAATAAGTAAAAAAAGAGAGAAATAAAATAGAAATTAGGTTAAGAAAATCATTATATAGTTGCTTGAATAGAAAGTTAACAAAAATGAAAAAAGATGAAGAAAAAAAAACAAAATAGCAGAATGATTATTTATGGCTTGAATATAAAACGACGTAGTAGCATGGGGGTGTAGGAGAAGCTAGCTACCCTAGAGTCTAGGCAAAAATTTGTATGTTGTGGCTAAGTGGCTTAAAAATGAGTATTGGGCTTATGTTAGTGGATTAAATTTAAGTTGTTTTGTAGTTATTGGGCACTAGTTTTAAATATTTTGGGCTAAAGTGAATTTCTTATTTGCAAAATTAATTTATTGAGGTGTTATTTTTATTTTTATTATTTTGTAAAAAAAATAGAGGGAGTTTTATATATTGCGTGTTATTGTCATGTACTTTTATTTGCGTATTTACTTGTTTTTTTGGTATGTGTGTTAGCTTCTGTTTTAGTGTTTGTTAGTGTGTTACTCTTTGTTCTTACTTTTACATCTTTGGTTGGTCTTTCTTTTGTTGGATTGTGTATCTATTTAAAATAAATTGCATATTATTTTTCATGTACTTTTTGCGTATGGATATTTGCTGATATAGCTATTATGGAAGAATAAGCAGTAAAGGACTTTTTCTATTTTTAGAAATGGATGACATTAGGGCAACACATGAGGCTAAGCTATAAGAAACGGCTAACATTAGGGCCATACATGATGCTAAGCTACAAGAAGCACGAGGTTTACATGGTGAACTGAGGCAAATTCGAGAGTAGCGCCTTGTAGATATTTATAGAATAATTGATAAAGCTACACAGGAGCTGAAAAGGGGAAGGGAAGTCCATGGCGGGATCTTACCGGCTAATGAAAATGAAGAACCCATTGAAGAGTGATTGTAGAGGATAGGGGGAATGTTATGGGTGGGGATGTTGTTGTTGAAGGAGGTAATTTAGAGGGGAGAAATGATGTTGTTGTTGAAGAGAATGTAGTTGTAGGGGCTGATATAAAGATGGAATTTGATGGGGATGATGAAGCAGATGATGATGGTGAGCCTCATGTCTATAGGGATAATGCTGATGATGACGATGACGAAGATGCCGAAGATGATGATGATGAGGATGACAATGAGCAGGAGGCTGAAGATGACATCGATGACGATGATGATGGTGGTGATAAGAGGTCTGGGTGTGATGGCGGGGATGAGATTATGTATTATGATAATGCAAATTCCAGAAACTCAGAGTCATCAGAGGATTCTGGTGCATATCGCCACACCTTAAGCAATTTTGATAGGATTATTTAGATAGTTGGTTTTATTTGTCAGATTATGAGAATTCATAGTTTCTTTATTGTTGTTTTAAGTAGTTAATTAATAGTTATGTCTTTTTCTAAGCTAATTTCCTTTGTTAATGTAGGAATCTTGAAAGTATAAAGAATTTATTGGCTTAGTTAAGTACTCAAGCAACATTTTGGATATAGATGTTAAGTTTCTTATTTTGTAATGGTTTCAATTATCTTAATATATATAAGAAGAAATTTTTTTGATAATGTTGGTTGTTTTGTAATGACTCTTGTCAAATTTCTTAGTTAAAGTAGCTCAATTTGTGGATATTGACTCTGTGTTGGTTTTGTTTACATTATTTATTTGTTTTTAGTGTTGATTGGTGGGTATTTTAAATTTTTGAATTCATTTAGTTCATTGATTGTAATGTGTGATCTTGGTTGATTAATGCTCACCGGTTGCTAGGTTCTTACATTGACACCACACATTAACTTGGATTCTAAGGCTTGTGCTTCAGATTTTGAAACTTTGCAAGTTAGACTTAGCCATTTTTGTATCATTGCTTTGAGAGGTAGTAACTGTTTCAGAGTTTTTTTGATGTCCTGCGGGAGAGTTACAATTTCGGGACTGATATCTTTGCGCCTGTACCTGCAAAACAATGGAGACTCCTGGTGGTAGGAGTTCCGCCTCCGACGGTCAAGTTAGTACTTGTTTGAGGAGTAATAAATGCGGAAAAGTAAAGGTTGGGAGATCTGGTTCCTCTAGGGGAGGAGTGATTAGTGTGTTTAGGTTCTCTAGATGAGGGTAATTAATTGATGAATCCCCCTTAATGAGGATTAATTAGAGTATTTATAACCTTGGAAAACGTGTCAAATCCTAGGTTTAGGTTAACCTAGGGCTGACTGGGCTTCCCTTGGAAATTGGGCCTAGGTGGCCTGCTTGGCCTATTTGGCATACGGAGGCCACATGGCGTGTAACAACTGGTCCATGGTGGACAGATCAACTCCTGACACCTGGCAGGCTTCTATTGGCCCATGTAAGTGGACACTTGGCAGAGCCTGAATGGTCCACTTTTCAGAGAATGATTGGTAGGGAAAAATCCCCTAATCATTTGCCCCTCACAGGTGGCACGTGACTGTTCACATGTCACCTGTGACAGGTGTCGGCCTGTAACAGGCGACAGTCTGCTACAGGTGTCGCCCTATGACGGGCCGAGCATTTTTCCCACTCGTTTTTTGAATTTGGAGGCGACTCTTCGCACTCTTCTTTGCCCTATATAAAGGCATGTTGACCAAGTCTTTTGTTCACATTTGCGAACTTTTTCAAGAGAACTCTCGAACCCCTGAACTTGAGCTCTGACACTTTGCAAATCTTGACCTGCCAGGACGACTTTTTTTACTAGGCGCCTACTCGATCAAGCTCTCCTTCAGAACTTAAGTTTCACGTAACCGTCTGTTCCTTTATTCTTTTTGCTTTTGCACTTTTTCTTTCTTTTTTTGAAAATGAGACCTCAAAAGCATCCGGCACGACCTAGGTTAGCAATCAGCCGGTCACCGGGGACGGCTGAGTCTAGGACTAGGGGTGCCGACTGCCCTGCGGTACTTCAAACTTTGCGCAAGTCCCGGAAACCAACTGTCTTTGTATCTATGCAGGACAGTATGGCAAGAACAAAAAATACCAAGAGAATTGAAAACTCTGATGGCTCTTCTTTTCGGGTTCAGATTAGCGAGCTGTCAGACCAGCCGCCTGATACCGCAGGGACCCAAGGCGGCCCTTCTGCTGAGAGCTCTGAGGAGGGAGCTAAAGTAGCTCCTTCCAACTTCTTTGTTGACCTGGCCAGTCAGCAAACGGCCCCTGAAGAAGAAGAGGGGTCGGCCCCCTCAGGGAGAGGGGAGGAGTCGGACTCTTCTGATAGTGAGTCTGACTCTAGCTCTTCAATCCGCCTCTCTATAAACTTAGAGGAAAGGTGTTTCGGGGTTTTCTGATGTCCTGCGGGAGAGTTACAATTCCGAGACTGGAACCGGACGCCTGTACCTGCAAAATAACGGAGACTCCTGAGAGCTCCGCCTCCAACGGTCAAGTTAGTACCTGATTAAGGAGTAATTAATACGGAAATTAAAGTAATAAGGTCTCTCTAGGTGAGAGTGTTTAATGTTGGTAATCTGCTTTGTTAGCGAGATCAGCCGGTTATTAGTGTTCCGTAATGTTTCTGTTCTGTTCACCAGGTGAGATTAATTGCTTCTTTTTTCCCTTTAATGAGGATTAATTAAGTATTTATAGTCTTGAGAAGCGTGCCACTCTCTAGGTTTAGGGTAAACCTAGGGCTGACCGGGCCTCTAAAAAGGATTGGGCCTTGTTGGCCGGTTTTCCCATTTGGCATGGGTGGACACGTGGCGTGTCTCAATTGGTCCGTAGAGGACGTATCTGTGATTGACACGTGGCAGGCTCCTATTGGCCTACGTAAAGGACACGTGGCGGAACCTGGTTGGTCCACTTGTCAGACGGTGATTGGTAGATAAAAATCCCCTAATCATTTGCCCCTCACAGGTGGCACGTGACTGGTCACGTGTCACCTGTGAGAGGTGCCGCACGGTGACAGGCGACGGCCTGCTACAGGTGTCACCTTATAAATGGCCGAGAGATTTTCCTGCCCAAATTTTGAATTTGGAAGCGACCCTTGGCCTTCTCACTTTGCCTATATAAGGAAGTGGTGACTTCGGTCATTTTCACATTTGAGAACTTTGCGAGAACATTCGAACCCCTGAACTTGCTCTGACATTTCGGACCTTTTCTGCCTACCGCCTGTTCTGACAAGCCGACTGCACCGGATTTCCAGAACTTCATCAACCGTCACTCGTTCAGGTAACTCAGTTCTCTTACTCTTAATTTTTCTTTTTATTTTTGAAATGGCACCACGGAAGCACACGACACGACCTAAGTTAGTGATCAGCCGGTCACCGGGGACGGCTGAATCTAGGACTAGGAGTGCCGCCTGCCCTTTTCTGGACCCATCTTTGCCCTTTATACAAAGTCCGACTGTATTTGTGTCTATGCAGAACGTGATGGCCAGAACAAAAAAGACTGCTATGATCTCAAACTCGGACGGCTCCTCCCAAAGGGTGCTCATTAGTGAAACATCTGACCAGGCGCCAGATGTAGAAGTGAAACGAGGCGGCTGCCAAGCCGACAGTTCTGAGGGAGGGGTCAAGGTGGTCCCTTCCCATTTTACCGTTGATATGTCTAATTTTCCTCCTGCTCCTTCTAAGGGAGAGGAGGCGGGCCCCTCTGGGAGAGGGGAGGAGTCGTCCTCTTCGGACTCGTCAGAGGACGAGTCCGATTCCAGCTCTTCTGGCCACGCTTCTCCAGGCTCAGAAGAAAGAAACAGCCGCCTACAAGAGGCGAGGCTTTCTCATGCAGTTGAGAAGGGGGACAATTGGGCGGAGCCGTCCGCCTCTTACAGAGAGGAAAACACCCCCTACTACTGCACGGTACCCCGGGGCCGGATCGCAGCCATGCAAGACAAAGTGGAGAGTTTTATAGCTAACCACAGAATGGGCCCCGAATTTTTACTGTTCGTGCCGGATCCAGAAGACACTGTCGTCTGGCCGGCTGGTACCAGCTATGATGACGGCTGCTTTGGCTGCTATGTGGCGGCCATCAAAGCTGGACTGCGCTTCCCATTACATCCGGCTGTTCAGCGGATTTTAGATGGGTATGATTTGGGGTTATGGCAGTTAGCCCCCAACTCTTGGGTAAACGTACTCGGCTATGTGGCCGGGTGCGAAATGTACGGGGTGGAGCCAAGCTTTGAGGCTTTCGCCCACATGAACTATCTCAGCCGGACCCCTAAGTCGGGAGGTACCGGCTGGTATCAATTAACAAGCCATAGGGGCTACCTTATGACGAGAGGTAAGGCGAACAAATGGAAGGATTGGCGGAACACCTTCCTTATCATCGAGGGTTCAGACACGGAGCTGAACAAACGCTTTAACAAGTGGAATAGGGATCCGCCTCTTCTCGCAGGCGGCCGCAGCATGCCGCCTGTTCCCCCAAAGGCTAAAAAAGAGATCCTAGACAAAGGACTCTTCAAAGTAGAGACTAGGGTGAACTCTACTTCAGGGGTACGAGAGCAAGTACCCCTAAACTGCGTCCCGAGCTTCAAGTGGCTCTATGACGAGTACTTTTTGGCCGCCTGTGGCCTCAGCAGTCGGTGCTCTAGAGGTAGCCGACCTGACAAATACTCTGTTTTTTCACGCTTTGTTTACTTGGGATTTTTACTAACTTTGCTGTTTATTTTTTGCAGCTGACGCCATGAGTAAAATAACAGCATCCAAGACTGCGGCGGCCATGTTGCGGGCCTCTCTCATGCAACAGTCTTGTACCGACTCCCCCAACAAGGGGGCACCCTTGGTAGGCTTCGAAACTCTTCCTCTTTTAGGAGTATGGACAATTACTTGTAAAAACTTTTACACTTGCTTCCTTCTTGACTAGGTCTAACTTGCTTTTTTACGCTTGATGCAGCCGGCCCTCAGGGGCTTGACTTGGTAGAGGTAGCCAAGTCCATGATCAAAGTAGTTCCTCCATCTGAAAGGGAGGCGGTTAGGGGTGCCGGCACCCTTGACCTTGATGGGATTGCAGGGGTCCTTGCTGAGGTATACTTTTTGAGTATTTGAATTCCAGGACGTCTGTTATCTCTTTTGTTTGGAAACTGACGCCTGTTTTTTTTTTTTTGTACTTAGGCCCTGCTCCGAGTTAACGACCTTCGCAAGCCGCTTGATCGGAAAAACAAAGAGGTAAAGGCTGCAAAAGCTATGGCCGCCTCTAACTGTGATAAGGCAATGTTTCAAATTGCCCAAAATGAAGTATTGACCATTGATATTCTTTATTATCAGGCGCAGGCTACCGCCGCTGTTCGGGCTCAGTTAGAGGCGGCCCAGAAGAAGAATGACGAGCTGGAGGCGACCATCACAAATCTTAAGGCCGAGCTGAAACCTCTTCGCCAAAAAATGTACTCTTACGAA